TTGTTCAAGTGGGTTATGTTAACCAAATATAGATAACATAGGTTTATTTTGTTTTCTACATCTAGAATTCAGTGGTGATAGAAAACACAAAACTTCCTTTGTACTGTTAAATTTTCTTGCCCTTGCTGTTTACTCAAGTTCTGAATGAGTCAGATATTTTTATACTTCCCTTTTTGCAATTCCCTTTTCTCTTTTACTATGTTCCTTTTTAACTTCCAGTTTAGTCTACTGAAATTAACTCTTAAATACAATTTAAGTTTGTACTTGATGTATTCCTATACAAGACTGGCAAGAAAACACAGTAATTAGTATAATTAGAAATTTTTCTTTTTTCTAGTACAGGATATTTGAATTAAAAAATAATTTCCTAGCTATTTGAACTAGCTCTTATCTTACAAATACAGTTGTTCATAATTAGACTATTAACTATTTTGCAGAATGTAGAGAGAGCAGAGGGAGAGGAAAGCTAGAAGAGAAAACTTTTGTTCACTTTAAAAGAAAAACTTAACATTTGAATATATAAGTTTCACATAATGGAACAAAAGAATGTAATTTAATTTACTACTATTATAGAGTCACTATATAAAAAATAATTGGTCCAATCATTTCAAGAGATAACATAGGACCAAGAGCAGTGATCCTGAAGAACAGTCTTAACACGGAACACATTGGCAAAAACACAGCCCAAGGAATTGGTTTAATATCAGCTGAGATTTTTTTTTTCCTCATTTATATTTTATTGGTTGTTTTAAGGGCCAGTACAGAGACATTATGAACAACCTGTACACAATTCTTAATGCATGTACCAAAAATCTAAAAAGCCATGTAGTTACAATTCTTTTCTAAATTCCAGTGACCTTCCAGCTTTAAATTTGGAGGGAAGTTTTCATAAAGAAGAAAATAAGTACCAATATCTTCAATTGTTGATAAACTGTCACAGCATTAAGATCCACTAATTCACAATTTACTATCACACACACTACACATTCAAATTTTCAACTGTTCATAGCACATAACAAAGTTACTAGGAAAACTGGACTACCAAGACCAAAGATGTTACAGAATCCACATAGTTGAGAGGGAGAAAGCCATGAAGAGGAACTGGTTATGTTTAAGAAGAAATTTTACTAAACAATGTTCTAATTTATGTATCTAAAAAACATGGAAGACTTAATTTAAAATGTTCAAGTCATAAATGCATGACTATGACTCCAAATTGTCATTAAGTATACTATGTATTATGGGATATAAAAACTGTCCCCTTTCCCCATGGAATGTTAACACTGACATCCAAAGTCATCGTTTCCCCCCTCCCCACAATTTTAACATGCCACATTTTCTGGTTGTACCAAAAAATAAACAACAAGCAAATGATCTCACCTCTTTAAAAAAAAAAGCATTTACACTTAAAAATGAGATGAAGTGGGATTTCCTTCTTCTTAAAAAATTTTCTAGAACTACTCAACTTGCATTTAAAAAACAGTTGATAAAAATTTTCCTCTGGATTGTACAAGAAAGGAGATACAGGGATCACTGATAAGACGTGGTAGACAAATATTAATCAGACTTGGCTTTTTCTCCTGTTTCATCAGGGGCTGGATTCTCTTTGTTTTTAGTTTCTCCATTTTCTGCAGGCAAAGCTTCTTTAGTTTCTTGGTTAGCCACTTCAGCCTGTTTTCCCTTTGCTCCCCTTTTCCCTTTTGTTTGCACTTTTTTTGTCAGAAGGCTTCTCCTTTCCTGCTGTCTTTGCAGGTGGCTTAGCTGACAACCCAGCTGATCTTCTCTTGGGCTCCTCCTACACTGCACCTTCGGCAAGCTGACCTTCCTCTTGGGCATGTTGGCCGCAGGGAGGGCTCTTGCCCGGCCACAGCGCACACGGAGCCTTCGCGAAGCTGGGTTGCTCTGGCACTACTTCTCTGCCCGCTTACGTGCTGCTGGGACGCGCAGAGGAGGCAATGGGAGAACTGGATGAAACCGGATTGGGAGTCAGGCCAGGCCCCCAGCTGAGATATTTTAACAAATGATTATAATACTGGAAGTTCTCACTCATCTATGCCAACTGACTTGGAAGATGGCTCCTTGCCTAACTGACTAGAAAAGATCCATATTTGTACCCATTACAAGAAAAGTGATCAAACAGAATGCAGAAATTACCGAGTAGTATCATCAAAATCACATGCAAATAAAACTTTACTGAAGATTATTAAAAAGCTGTTGAATTAATAGAAAACTACTAGGTTTAGAAGAGGGTATGGATTGAGGGATATAATTGTTCATGTCAAATAGCTCTTGGATGAAAGCACAGAATACTAGAAAGATGCTTGCCTGTATTTTATTGACTTTGCAAAGACATTCAGCTGTGATCACAAGAAATTATGGATAATACTATGAAGAGTGGGAATTACAGAATTTTACTACAGAACCTGTGCATAGACTTAAGAAGTTTTTGTCTCTTAGGCTTGTCACATAGATTAAGTTATTCAACCAGAATAAGAAGACATTGCATGGTTTAAAATCAAAAGTGTGTGTCAGGTCATATCCTTTTATGCTACTTATTCAGTCTGTGTGGTGACAGAAATAATCCAAGAAGCTAAATTACAAAAAGAAGAATGTGGCATCAGGATTGGAAGAATACTCAATAACAACATCTGATAGGTAGATTATAATAATTTTGCTTGCTGAAACCAAAAAAAAAGACTCAAAGTACTTAGTGATAAAGCTCAAAGATTATATATAGCCTTCAGTATGGAATGCATGTCAGCTTAAAATCCTCTTAACTGGACCAATAAACATCATGATAAACAAAATATTGAAGTTGTCAAGACTTCATTTTATTTGGGTTTACAGTCAGTATATGAAAGTAGCAACTAAGAGATCAAGCCAAATGATGTATTGAGCAAATTTGCCACAAAAGACCTCTTTGAAATGCAAAGATGTCACTTTCAGCACTAAAGTGCACTTAACCCAAACCTTGTCAGTTATCTTTTATGTATGTGAAAGATGGACAATAAATGAGGAAGATCAAAGAAGAATTGATAGGTTTGAATTATGATGTTGGTGAAGAATATTGAACATACCATCTACTGTCATGAAAACCCAAATCTTTCTTGGAAGAGGTACAACCAGAATGCTCTCTAATAGCAAGTACGCGTCTCATGTTCTTTCATACACACAGAGTATTCATCTCAAATACTTCTTGGTCACTCTATCAAGAAGCGCCAATGCCTAAAGAAAGACATCATGCTTGATAAAATAGAGGCTAAGCAAAAAAGAGGAAGACTGTCAATTATTGGCTATGGTAGTGAACTCAAGCAGCTCAGTGATTGTGAGGATGGCGCAGGACCAGACATTTTGTTCTCTTGTGCACAGGTCGTTATGATTTGGAAGCAATTTGATGGTTATTAACATATTATTGGGTTAATTTGATCCAGAAAGTAATCCTGGATATAGATTACAAGTGATACAAATTTATATGTACACAGAATATATGTGGAACATTATATGCATTGCTGTTTTATTTGCTTTGTTGTTATGTACTGTTAAGTTGGAACCATCTCATGGCTGACTGTCCACTGGATTTTCAGAGGCAGTAAATTGTGTCATTGGGGATTGTCCATCATTTTCCTATGCAACAGCTGTATATTTAAACCACTTGCCTTTGGGATTGCAGTGCAGCATCTTACCACTAGGCCACCAGTTGTTGATTGCTGTCGAGTTGAGCACAACTCCTGGTACTCTGTGAACTAAAGAACTAATGTCTTTCCATGACTATCATCATTTCTCCAAGTTCATAGAGTTGCCAGAGGCATGTGGTTTAGGAAGTGGATGCCACTCCTGCTTCCAAACCTGTTTTACAATGGGGAGTTCCACCAAACACTGTCCACATTGGGAACCATTCTGGTATTTGATACCCCAGTGGTACAAGGTTCAGCATCACAGCATCCGAGGTCATTTCATACAAAAATTGACAAAGAGTGATGTACAAAATGGAAGAGTGTTCCTCCAGATATAACAGCACTAGTTTTATAAATCAATCTGGAAGCTCATCCAAACACTGTACATAATGGATAACCACTATGGTATTTGACAATACTGTGGAACAGTGTGCAGCATCACAGCCATACCACGTTGTTCAGTTCGGCAAATAGACAAAAGATTGCTGTGTCATTCAGGAATATTCATTAAAAAATTAATACATTTGCTGGGTTTTAAAGCCATACCTTTGAGCAGACTTCCACTCTAGGCAAAGGCTCAAGGACACCTGCTCTTGGAGAGGAAAGAGCTGTAATACACATCAAACGCGACCCCAAAAACTTCCCTTTGCGTGCCCATCAGGACAGAGCTTCCTATAATTAAAGATAATACATTCTAAGTAGATGCTTGTTGCTGTTAAGTCAGTTCTGACTCCTGCTGACCCTATACATCTCTATCTTGTGTTGATGCACTTTCTTCCTAATATCAATAAAATTTTACAAAATCGATTTTTCTTAAATAAGATTCTTTTCCTCCCCTCCCACTGTGAAGCTTTGTTGGTTCCTCTTAGATTTACAGCTCTCATTAGCCATCTTGAACTTCAGACACAGAACGTTCATGTTCTGAATACGTTCCCTCTCTGCTTATCCAAGCTGATTCCTTGACCCAGTATTGTTAACTTCCATCTTTCCTCCTACTTTGCTTAACCTCTTTCTTTTATCTAAACTCTTTGCTTCCTCCTCTGCTGCTAACCATTCTATAAAGAACAGTTTACATTCCACTTAGTATAGAAAGCCTGTCTCCATTCCCTGGGCAAGACTTTCTAGATTCCTGCATTGTGTTTATTTTTGTTGTTGTGTTCATTAGCTTGTTTTAATTAATTATCTTGTTGCTAATGTAGTTTTAAACTCCTCCATTAGATTGCAGATTTCTTAAAAGAGGAACTTTAAGAATTAAGCCTTTCTGGATCACTCTTTTGTACATGATGTTAGGAGCTCAATGTTATATTGAATGATGTTTATCTTTAGGTTTACCATTGCTTGTTCAGAGAACAATTGCAAGAACTATTGTGTTACAAGAAAGCATCGGCAAAGGGCGATTTGGAGAAGTGTGGCGAGGAAAATGGCGGGGAGAAGAAGTTGCAGTTAAAATATTTTCCTCCAGAGAAGAACGCTCATGGTTTCGCGAGGCCGAGATTTATCAGACTGTCATGTTACGTCATGAAAATATCCTTGGATTTATAGCAGCTGACAATAAAGGTTGGTAACCTTTGCTTTTTCTTTGTATTGAATGGAACAAAATCTGCTTAAGCCTGTTTATAGATTTGGCTACTAAACATGATCAATTTTAGTGAAAAAATAGATACATGTCATATAGATCAGGCTTATTTTAGAAACGAGAATGCCTCTTTAAAGATAGCATTTGCTCTTTACAATACATATTTCTAAATATAAAATCTATTTGTAAAATATAATGTACTGGAGTTGGGGAAAAGGATGTCTTTGTTATCTCGTTCAAGGCTAAGTATAGTCATAATATAAAAATACAAACTGTGATTACTCAAAATTTGAGTAGGGTAATGTTTAAACTGTCTTATTTCCTTTTAACCACTTCCTGACAAATAGAACTTTTCTGTTTATTCAGTTGAAAGTCATCAGGGCCAGCTGAATCAACCTTTTAAGTACTTTGTTAAGTAGAAAAATTGTTTTATCCAAAACAGACGTACCATTAGTAACCCATTGTTACGGGGATACTTTCTGGCTTGTATCAGAGGTGTCTGGGCTTTAAGGATTAGATTCTGTGTGGAGAGTCAATCAGAATGAGTGACTTGTGTATAGTAACTTCAGACTTCATTTGCTTTTCTGCTGTCTTTTTTTTTTTTTTTTTTGGTTTCAGTTAATACTTCGTGTCTACAGTTCCTGCTTCTACAACTTCAGTCACAGACATGTGCTTACACTAGAGGCTTTATCCCAGCCCAGTATGTCTGATAACCCACAAGATAATAGCATATGGATATCTATCATATTACATTACCTCTTAGACACATCTTGAAACTTAACTCTTCTGTCTTTACCTGAATTAATTGTATTCTCTACAGTTTCTTTTAACTTGTCTAAGTTGTACAGTTTCTTTGACTTGTCTAAGTTGTCATTTCTTCCCCTTCCTCCCTTTTCATTTATTTCTTTCACACTATTTTTTAAAAATACTAACAATGTTTATTTCTGATTTTAGGTGATTTTTTTTTTTGGTATATCTTTTTTTATGGTTGTCTATTTTAAAATTTTTACTCTGCACTCGTGTTTTTCTAAAGTTTTTTATTGTTAAAAAAACCTCAAATATAGAGAAAAGTAGAAAATAGTGTAATGAATTTCTATCATTCCACTTCAGCAGTTGCCAGCCCATTATTGTTGATTGTATTTCATTTTTAATTCAACTTTTTGTATTTTTGCACTCCCTGTCTACCTTTTTTGAGCTCTGGTAGCCCAGTGATTAAGGAGTGAACACATGGTTCAGATCTTCCAGCTGCTTCACAGGAGAAAGATGAATACTCACTTCTGCCTCTGAAGGCCTGCAGGAGGGTCAGCTGTGAGTTCTGACTCAGAAATACTTAACAACATCAACATTTACTCTTTAATTATTTTTTAATTAATCCAGGATAAGGGTTTCTTTTTAATCGTAAATATTTATAGTTTATGTCTCTGAATAATTTTTATTAAGAAATATTTTGATTAAACATAATCAGCCATGCTGTCATGTCAGTGCTTTAGAAGTCATCAGGTACCTTATTTGGGTCTAGATTTCTTTGAATGTTGCATATATTTTTAAGAAGTAATTTGTTATTCAAATTAGGATCCAAAATGCCTGAGTGCCCTCCAGGGAACCCTGGGGCCTCTGGTGCTGTCATCACCCCTCCAGTGATGCACTGCTACCCCATAGGCTGTGCCTTTCTCAGGACTTTCAGCTATCGGAGAAACATGGACAGTCCCCTCTCCTCTGACTTAAAGCCTCAGAAGCTCTATGGAGAATCAGTGGGGGGCTGGTCTGATGTAAAGGTAGTGAGTTGTTTGGATTTTTTAAAGTACTTTCTTCATCTTTCCCTTGCAAAATTTTACTTATTGAATATTCATAGCATCTGCTAATCTGCTCCGCTGTATTTTCAGAAAACTGGTACTTAGATCTAGAGGCAGAATAAACATCAAGTTTTATTGTTCTCTCCAAAATACATATTGCAATCTCCCTATTATGTCATTTCTTTGTTGTTATGTACTATCGAGTTGGGAAGACCCATAGTTGACCTTGCAGTGGCTTTTCAGAGACAGTAAGTCACATGAGAGGAGACTGCCCAGTTTCACCTACAGAGCAGCTGGTGGATTCTGCCTGCCTGCCTTTTGGATTGCAATGCAGCTTTGTTGTGCCCCAAATCCAGTTTCCCCCCAAGTCACCAAGGAGCCGACACCGATGCAAGGGCAAGAGGGAATTTATTTCAGATTCGAATCTGGGCCGCGATCCAAATCATGTTCATACAACAGGGAAGATGGCCGAGGCCTGATTCTGGGCTGTCCCGCCTATTTAAAGGGGAAAGCCCACGAAAACAGGGCGATACAGGAATTGGCTGGTTCAAAGGAAGGGCGCGAAAACAGGGTGATAACAGTATTGGCTGATGTTTGGGTGGGGGCTCTTTTCCCCCTTCCCCCACCGCTTTCAGTTTACTGCTCTAGAGGCTTATACATTTTAAAATGACATATTGGTTACAAAATGGAGTCCCTCAGCTTCTTACCACTAGGTCACCAGAGCTTCCCATCTTTGTTGTTGTTGTTATGTGCCGTTGAGTCGTTTGCGACTCATAGCGACCCTATGTACAACAGCCCTAAACCCTGCTCTATCCTGTGCCAATCGCATTGCCTCTGACACACCAATCCCGATTACCCCAGTCACTGGATCAGTCCACCTTATAGAGGGTCTTCCCCTCCTGCACTGTCCCTCCACCTCCCAAGCATGATGTCCCTCTCAAAAGACCTGTCTCTCCTTACAACATGTCCAAAGTATGTCATACGAAGCCCCAGAATCCTTGCCTCCAAGGAGTAGCCTGGTTTAACCCCCTCTAGGATGAATCTGTTTGTTTTCTTGGCAGTCCATGGTACATTCAATACTCTTCTCCAGCACCACAGCTCAAAGGTGTCAATTCTCCTTCTGTCCTCCCTAGTCATTGTCCAACTCTCTGATAGGCATCTATTATTAGATTATATCTTTTTTATGTGATGGTAGGGAGAGTAAGAAATGTGACTGAGGTAGATAGACAATGAACAGCTACTGACCTAATTAAAGCATAAAACAAGCACAGCGGTGATCATAGTCTGACAAGGTTCTTAGTTCTTACTGTCTTTTCAACTTTTTTTTAGTTAAGTAGAAATGGGACCATGGGCTTTTCTTTGTTTATTGTTATTTCTTAATATTTGTGATTCTTTTCTAGAACTCTTACTCTTCTTACTGATTTGCATGAAGGCTCTATGATTACTATATTCCCTTAAGTAATTGACCTTGTTGGTAATTTTCAGATCTATGCTTTGAGGCATAAACCTCACCCAACTCCAACTTGCACACATTGGTGCAAAGAGCTGATGTTACTGTCCTCTCCCTGTTCTCTTCCTGTTTGGTCACACAGCCACCAGATAGTGCTATCATCTGGTGGGCACTCTGGGAAATAGTTGACCCCTACCAGCCCTTCCCCAGGTTCTTTTCTTTTTGTCAGGGGTTAAGGGCAGTTCTCCTCAAAATTCAGTCTGTCGTTCTGTCCTAGTTCCGGTACTTGCTTTCCTCCTAATTGAGTTGGTTCCCCTCAGGCAGTCCTTTCTATGTGCACAGCCTCTTGGTTGCCCTGTTCTATTTGCCTGTTGTGTTAGTGACCTTAGAGAAATACTCTTTTTTCTTCCATCTTCCTGTGTTGTTGTTTATTTATTGCAGTTGTGAGCTTTTTAAAATTCAGTCATGAATTTAAAAAAATTCACTTATAGTTAATTATGCACTTAGGCTACTGATGCATCTGTATTAAGAAGTACATATTTGGACAGAAGTTCTATACAATGGATGATTCACCATTCTTTTCGGAGGACTCAGATATTCCCTTAGAATCTTCTAGGAATTTCTCATCTCTTCATTTCTTCTGATAAGAATTCTTTTTGTTCAAGTTAAAACCTTAAAAATACAAAAGTAGTTTTATATTATTTTGTGGGTTTTTTCCTTTTGTCTTGCGATTGATTGGAAAGAGTAAATACTAAGTTTTTGCATGCCAGGCACTATGCTTTATCCTATTTTTTAAGTCCTCTTGACAATCTTACAAAGTAAAATATTGTTCTTGTATAAAAGAGGAAACAGAAGCTCATTTGGTTAAGAAGCTTGTCGCTAATAGGCAGGCCCTGGATTCCAAGCTAGGTCAGAATGACTCCAAATATGCATCTGTTAATCATACTGCCTTGTTATTTTGTTGTAGTGCCTTATTTCTTCACTGTCCCGTGAAATAGTTTCCAGATAGTTTACATGTTTAACTTGTAGCTTAAACAGTTTTATGAATCAGCCTAGGAGCTTAGGCAGAACCTTTGCCGTCATTACTATGGGAAAATAGGTTTCAGATTCTTGTGTGAACTTGCAAATGAGTTTTCAGAACCCACATTCAGAATCACCTTGTCTACAAGTTGGTTCAGTCCCCATTTCTTTTCCTGTCTTTTGATACTTCATTTTCTATCTCAGCTTTCCCTCATGTGTGGGGAAATAGTATTACTGTTTTTTAAAGCTAGAAACCTTAATGAACCTTATACATGGATGATTCACCATTCTTTTCAGAGGACTCAGATATTCCCTTAGAATCTTCTAGGAATTTCTCATCTCTTCATTTCTTCTGATAAGAATTCTTTTTGTTCAAGTTAAAACCTTAAAAATACAAAAGTAGTTTTATATTATTTTGTGGGTTTTTTCCAACCATAATCTGTCACTAGAGCTCATCATTTCTTGATTTAAATATGCTTTTTGTTTCATGCTATAATACTCCATTTCCACTGTGACCATGCTAAACTCTAGAACATTCCATTTCCCACCTTTCTCATTCTCCCTTTGTTTTATCCTCTTTCATTCCCAAAACAGCCACTGATCACCTATCTGGCCTGAGGCATTTCTCTAGGCACTAGAGTCCCAGCTCAGCTACTGCTTGGGCTCAGGAAAGTCAGCATCTCCGAAGCGCTGTTTTTTTGTGTCCAGACTGGAGTTCCTTCTACTTTATACAAACAACATGTGTTTTACTTTGTTTTGCAAACTCTAACCTTCTCTCAGATTAGTGTTCTCTGTGTGCTGTTTATGGTGAAAGGAAAATAATCATCCGTGATCCATCTTAAGAATAGGGCTTACTGTATGTTTAATTATGTTGACAAGCCAAAAGGACAAGACAAAGAGGAAGGAAATACAATAACTTAAGGAAGTAATATATTGCAGTTATGTGACTCAAAAAAGTGATAATCATTAAATAAATAAATCATGGGTGTTCTGTAATCCAACTGGAGCATTGTTATCCTGTTTTGCAGACAATGGTACATGGACTCAGCTTTGGTTGGTATCAGATTATCATGAGCATGGATCTCTTTTTGATTACTTGAATAGATACACAGTCACAGTGGAAGGAATGATAAAACTTGCTCTGTCCACAGCAAGTGGGCTTGCCCACCTTCACATGGAGATTGTTGGTACTCAAGGTAAGTCTTTAAGCAGTTCTGTTATTTAAGCATTAAGTTCTCATAGCTATAACTATTAACAAAAATTTTTAAGAAATCCTCCTAATTGGAAATATTTTAAACAGAAACATTTTATCATGTGAGATATTTCACCTGAAAGTTAGGAATCTATGACTAATTTTGAATTTGCTAATCATTTTAACAACATTGTGATATTTTTATGTCATTAAAAGTAGCATTCAGTCTTGTGATTTTTTTCTTCTTTTTTTAGGGGGGAATTCTGAGTTATAAAAAGGCTTAAGTTGAAGAAACTGTATCAAATGAAATGTGAAAGTGATATATGAATGTTATTTGGCCATCTACTAATAATTCTATTTGGACTATGAGATAAGGAAACTACATAAACCCATTTTAGAGTTGCAAATTAATTAACTTAGTTTTGTAAATTTTGGTGTGGCTTTGTGTCACGTATATCGGATGCCATTGCCTCTCTGCTGATTTTCCACTTGCCTGATAGCTCCCCCATCCTCCCCTTTACTGTAGATGTGCTATTTTAGCTTTGTTGAGATAGAACTCACATGCCATCCAGCTCCCTATTTAAGTCTACATTTCAGTGTTTAATGTATTCAGAGTTGTACAACTGTGCCACAGTCAATTTTAGATCATCTTCTTGACACCAGAAAGAATTCCATACGTATTGCCACTCACTCCCGTTTTTCTCCTCAACCCCTCAGCCCTGTACAACTACTTATTCTCTCTACAGAATTCCCTACTTTAGACATTTCACATAAATGGAATCATATAATAGATTATATTTGTGACTGACTCCTTTTATTTAAAGGAGCCCTGGTGAAGTGTAATGTGTTGGTGTTTTGAATCCACCAACCAGCCTCTATGGGGAAAAAGATGGGCTGTCTCCTCTTATAAAGATTTACAGCCTCTGCACAACAATGAATGATTTTTTTTTAAGTGAACTGGGGAGGGGGTGAGTAGGGAGGAAAATGTACAAAAATGAATGAATAAAAATCGAACTTTTTTGTAAACTTTCATTAAAATCACAATTAAAGAGACATTATACAGCTTCACAAATCTAATAGAGGGCACCGTTCGTCCAGATAGATTAAATATCAGTGGGGTAAAGTCTTAGACTTAGCATGTTTCCAGTTCATTATTTTATGGACATTATGGATCTTGCCTGAAAGCGAGAGTACCAGAGGAATGTTTGTCTGTGTTTCATTGACTGTACAAAGGCATTTAGCTGTGTGGATCCCAACAGATTGTGGCTAACCTTGAGAAGAATAGGAATACAAGAACACTTGATTGTGCTCTTGTGAAACCTACACTTGGACCAGGAAGCAGTTGTCAGAACAGAGCAAAGAAACGTTGTATGGTTCAAAATCAGGAAAAGTGTGTGTCAAAGATGCATCTTGTCTTTATACCTTTTTAATCTGTACGTGCAACAGATAATTTGGGAGGTTGGACTTTATGAGGAGGAATGTGGCATCAGGATTGGAAGAAGACTCATCAGCAACCTGAGTTATGCAGATGACATAACCTAGTTTGCCAGAACCTGAGGCATTTGCTGCACAAGGTCACGGACTGCAGTGTTCAATGTAGGTTGCATCTCAACAGCAAGAAAACAAAGATTCTCACCACTGGGCCAATTGGCAACATATGGTAGATGAAGAAGAGATTAAGATTGTTAACAATCTCAATTTGCTTGGTTCCAAAATTAACACTTGTAGCACCAGCAGCCAGGAAATCAAAAGATGAATTGCATTGGGAATATATACTGTCAGGGACCTCTCCAAAGTGCTGAGGAGGTGTGAAGTCAGTCTAGAGACTAAGGTGCACCTGATCCAAGCCATGATCTTCATAAATACTTGCAGTGGTTCAAACCACTGACCTTTCGGTTAGTAGCCATACTGTTTAACCACTGTGCTACCAGAGCTGCTGCAATTATTTTCTGTACACCAGAGAGTTGGACAGTGATTAAGGATAACAGAAAAAGAGTCAATGCCTTTGAGTTGTGATGCTGGAGAATAGTACTTCTTGGACATGGACCACTAAAGAACAGCTTTGTCCTAGACCGTGTGAAACCAAGCTGCTTCTTGGAGGCAAGGATTTTGAAGTTCCATCTCACATACTTTAGGCATGTGGCCATGAGGGGCTAGTCCTTAAAGAAGGTCACCATGCTTGGAAGGGTAGGGGGATAGTGCAGGAGAAGACAACCCTGGATGAGATAGATTGACAGTGACTGGAGGAATGGGGGTAGGTGTGTCAGACACGGTGAGATTTTCTCATTATAGTACAGGGTTCAGAGATACTGTACATAGGGTTACTATCAGTCACAAGCGCATAACAACAACAAACATACATTTACTGTTTGGGCATGCTCCAATGATGGATATTTAGAGTTCCATTATTTCCTCTATTTTTAATAGCAGTATGAACATTGGTATACAAAGTTTCTGTGTAAGCATAATGTTTCTAATTATTTTGGGAGTTTTCTTGGTGGTAGAATTGCTGGGTCATATGTTAACTTTATGTTTAACCATTTGAGAGACTGCCAGGTTGTTTTCCAGAATGACTGCCATTTTTAATACAGTATGTGGACAAACATTTAAATTTTTCCACATTGTTAGTTAGCATTTTTTAAGCAGTATTCTGGTTAGTCTGTTGGTTAGAATTAAAAGTCATTTGTTTAAGGACTGGAAAGTGATCCAGTGCTTGGGATTCTGAACTAGAAACACAAGTCTGTAATGTTGATTCCCCAGTCTCTAAATTATTTAGACCTAGAACATTTTGAACATTATCTTTTAGAGCATCTTACTATCTGCATTTTCTTCAAAGAAACAGTATTTCAATCACTTTGGTTTTAATATTTCACTTGAACTTGAGTGTGGTAATGACCTAGGTATTGTGGATGATGTACGCTTCAATACTGGGGTGGGAAGAGAAGGTTTTGAACTTGAAGGTGTGAGTTGTGCTTAGTCTGACCCTTTAGCCAACCGTGTGTAATTTTTCTTTAGGAAAACCAGCCATTGCTCACAGAGATTTGAAATCAAAGAACATTTTGGTGAAGAAGAATGGTACTTGCTGTATCGCAGATTTGGGACTGGCAGTAAGGCATGATTCAGCCACGGATACAATTGATATTGCTCCAAATCATAGAGTGGGAACAAAAAGGTAAACTTGTTAATAAACTGTTTTTAGTATCTTCTGAAATCACTTTCTTTTTTTTCCCTTCTTATTTGTATATCTGTATATTTTTTTGAGACTCAGATTTGTACCTTGTTAAAATGCACACAGCAGAAGACCTCATAGTCTTGTCTGCTCCGAAGCAAAATTTATCTGGCTTAAAGATGCCTGCTGATGAACGCTCTTTCTTCCAGAAAATAGTATTGTTATAATAACAGCAGTATTTAATGTTTATAGGTTATCTCTGATATACTGCATATTTTAATAGGTCTGTTATATTTAAATACTATATTATAGTTATGTGAGCAATTTTCAGTTCTTGGAAACCTGCTGTTTTCTTAGTGTCTTTTGCATGTGCTAAATCAAGGGTGTATTTTCCTGTACTATTTTCCTTAACTTGTATTGATAGGAGTTGTGACACAAGTAGATACAAGTGCATGCATGTCCATTACAGTCTTATTTATCTTAGCAGTGTTAATTACGTAAAAGGATGAAAACAGCCCCCAAGTGTCCATCAGTGGACAAATGAATAAAGAACCTGTGGTAGATTTACACAGTGGAGTATTGTGCAGCACTAAAGAATAATAAAGAATTTATGAAACACTGTACAGCATGAATAAATTTAGAGAAAATTATACCAGATAACATCAGTTAGTCACAAAAGGACAATTAAGAGTATAAAACTACTGTAATAGAAAGGTAAATGTTTACACATGGAACCATCCTTCCATAGTTATCAAGGATGAGAAGGAAAAGAGAAGACAGTGAAAATGAATACATAGATAAGTTAGGTGAACCGAGAGAAATAATAATGGGCCATTCAGACATTGTAATTCATTATTTATATTAAATAATATTTAGTTTTAATTACTATTATAAAATAAAATGTATATGAATAAAATTATTCCTACCTAATTATTAATTAGATGTAATGAATATTATGAAACAAAATGTGTATGAATGAAACTATATGGACCTAATACATAATGGGTCATAAGTGGATAATTGTTGAATCCATGAACCCTCAAAAGAACCTGACTAGATAGGTTTCATTATTGCAAATTCACAGATGATGAAACCACCTTGAGGAAGTTAAGTCAGTTTCATAAGGATAGAAAACTGATGAGCTGAGATTTGAAGCTGGGCCTTTGCAACTAAAAAGCTCTTGTTTGAACATCACAGCATGCTACCTCATTTCTTCATAATTGTTACATTCATCTTGGATAAGGTTACTCTTGAATCTATGATTTCTAGATTCAACTAGGACTGCTGAAATTTTATACTAGCTTATGGGTCCAGGTCAGGGTTTGCTCCAGGCCTTTGTGGGCTCTGACCAGTAATCTTAAGAGGATCTTTGAAACTATGGAAGCCTAAAGGGGTTTGAAAACACTAGCTGCAGAAACTTTATGATGTGGCATCAATATGAATACTGACATTCCTTTTTACCTAGTATTTTTTTTGCCTGAAATATGTCCTTTTCTTTTGTCTCATGATGAAAAGACTCACAGATTAAAATATTTCATTCCTGCATCATATGTGACAAAGCAGATATATAAAAGTTCCAGTAATCTGTGTGTATCTTTTGTTGGAAATTAAGATCTTAAGTGATCATAGAATGAAACTGCAGTTGTCACTTGCCATGAGATTTAGAATTTGGTTAACATCATTGATGTTCAGGCCAATGTGAACAATATTTTTCTGTGGTCTAATCTGGTGGTGTGGTCCATGGAAAATTGTGCTAACCCAAAGGTCTCACTTCTCTGGTGATTCAGATCCACCAGCAGCTCTGTAGGAGAAAGATAGGCAGTTACTTCTCCCATATGCTTTATAGCCTCAATGGAGGGTTAGCTATGAGTCAGTTCTGACTTGATGGCTATGAGTATAATAATGTAATCTTGGTTATGTAATATTGTGTATATAACAGAATAAAAAGAGAGCCGGAGTTGAGGAATAAAAAGGAAAGAACTTGATTGGCATTTCCCAAACTCAAAACCAAATTCAAGCTTTGAGTTGTGATTCCAAGATATGCTCTGGCCATATGATCAAGAACCAGTGGTAATGAAGTTCAAGGTGCGCTGAAGGCTTTAGTAAAAAGTAAGGTCCCAGGATTTGATGGGATAGCAAGTGACAAGTTTCAACTAATAGTTACAGTTTGGGACGTGCCCACTAGACTATGTCAAGAAATTTGGAGGACACCTTCCTGGCCAGCTGACTGAAGAGATCCATGTTTGTTCCTATTCTTAAGAAAGGTGATCCAACAGACTGTGGAAATTATGGAACAATAGCGTTTATATCACAAGCAAGCAAAATACTCCTGAAGATCATTCAAAAATAGCAGTACATAGAGAATTTCCAGATGTTCAAGTTGGATTTAGAAAAAACTGTGCACCAGAGATATCATTGCTGATGTCAGATGGATCCTGGCCGACAGCAAAGAGTACCAAAAAATGTTTATTTATGTTCTATTGACTATGCAAAGACATTTGACTGTGTGGATCATAACAAGTTATGACTAATAGAAGAATGGGAATCCCAGGACACTTAATTGTGCCCAGGCAAAACCCATACCTTGAGCAGAAGGCTGTTGTCTGAAAAAAAAGCAAGAGAGCACTACATTGTTTAAAATGAAGAAAAATGTATGTCAGGGTCTCTCTATACTTGTTCAGTCTGTATACCAAGCTAATTATTCAAAAAGCTGGACTCTATGAAGAAGAATGGAACATTAGGATTGGAGAAAGACTCATCAGTAACCTGTGTTAAGCAGATGACACCATATTGGTAACTGAAAGTGAAGAGGACTTTGAAACACGAGCTGCAGATTAAAGAATACAGCCTTCAATATGGATTGCATCTCCACACCAAGAAGACAAAAATCCTCAACACTAGACTGATAGTCAAGAATGTGATAGAGAGAAAAAAAAAGAATGTGATAGAGAAAAGATGAGAAGTGTTGATGACATCATCACTTACTTGGATCCACAATCCTTGGTACCAGCATTCAGTCAGGAGGCATATTGCACTGTGAAATGGCAATCAAGAATCTCTCCATATTATTGAGCAGTGATGTCAGTTTGAGGACTAAGGTGCACCTGATTCAGGTCATAGTCTTTACTTACTATGCATCTGAGAGCTGGACAATGAATAAGGATAACAAAAGAATTGATGCCTTTAAACTGTTATTTTAGAGAAGAGTAAAACTCAAATGGGATGGACTGATAGAGTAACTGGGGCAGTGGGGGTTGGTGTATCAGAGTCAGTCAAACTGACTCAGGACCGGACAGGCTTCAGAACTGTTCTACATAGGGTCACTATGGGTCACAGACAACTCAGTGGCACATAACAACAACAACTGAATATCCAGTGGACTTCCAAAAGAACAAAGAGCTATATCTTGGAGAATGTGCAGCCAGAGGGCTCTTTGGAGACAAAGATGACAAAGCTTTGTCTTATATATTTTAGCCATGTTCCTTGGAGAGAGACATCATACTTTGAAAGATGGAAGGACAACAAAAAAGAGAAAGAGTCAGATGAATTGACATAGTGACTGCAAGAATTGGCTCAAATATGTCAGAGATTGTGAGGATGGCACAGGATAGGACAACGTTGAGTTATTCGTAGGGCCACTATGGGTCAGACTTGACTCAGTGGCACCTAACAGGCAGAGCTACATATATGTATGCAGACATCCTTGAAATGATGTCAAAATGTTAACAATGTGTAGTAATATTGGGATTTTTAAAAAAAAAAACTTGTTGTTTGTTGTGTACCATAGAGTCAGAACTGACACCCACAGCTGACCCTCTACCAAGTTTTCAGAGCCAGTTAATTGCATGGGAGAGGAGTGCCCATCCTTCTCCTGTGGAGCAGCGGGAGGCCTTGAACTGCAGGCCTTTCGAATTGCAACACAGTTCCTTGCCACAAGCAACAATCCTATTTTAAAAACAGGATACTCTAATAACAATATTAAAATTGTCAGCATAAAAAAAAATGAAAACAGTAGAGCCATACCTAAAGGGGGAAAGATCTTAAAGATAGTACAATTTTATGTTTTTATTCTGAGAAGAAAAATTAAGAGAATTAAAAAATAATATGACTTTCATTCTACACAATATTGACTTCTCTTTTAGGTACATGGCCCCTGAAGTTCTAGATGATTCCATAAATATGAAACACTTTGAATCCTTCAAGCGTGCTGACATCTATGCAATGGGCTTAGTGTTTTGGGAAATTGCTCGGCGATGTTCCATTGGTGGTAAATTGCTTCCCTCTCTTCAACAATTTGTCTTGAAAAGATAGTGTTCAAGCATTGCTTTATTTTTTTAATTGAATGACATTTACACATCTACAGTCTAAAATTGCGTTCTGCAGTTGACCAGTGAGAATACCAGAGAAAATACAGGAGCTAAAGCCCAAACTGAAGGAACATGGCCTGACGTGTGGACGCACGGCTCTGTTCTAGTGGCTGCTTTTTCTCTTTCCATTTGAATTTGGAGAGCATCTGCTTCCAACCCCTTTTGTCTTAGAATATAATTGTTTATAGTGAATGACTGATTGGCTACCTGGGAAACTGTTTCTAGCATATATCTTAGTCAAACATATTTTTCCCTTGAGACTAGGAGTTTTTGTTCCAGCTTACATTTCTGTGATGAGAGGGAGTATATTCCCCAGTCTGAGTGTGACACTCACATTCACAGAATAAAATATCTCATTTGCTGCAGAGTAGAGTTCTAGGAGAAGATGCAGTCTTGTCTTCACAGCTTGTAGTTAACCATTATCGTAATAGTCTTTATAGATCCGTGGTGACTGTTTCAAGGGATGGACCTAGTACCTACTCAGGGAAGGGAACTGTTGATGTCATGGATGAGCTGGAAGAAGGCATAAGCTGTGTTCTGCTTATCTCATTTAACAATTGGGCTTTTAGAACAGGCCTTTCTCTGTCTGGTCAAATACTGATTTGCATTTATTGGAATAAATTTTTTTTTAATAAAACTTTTTAAAAATACCATTCCAGGCATTCATGAAGATTACCAGCTGCCTTATTATGATCTTGTACCTTCTGATCCATCAGTTGAAGAAATGAGAAAAGTTGTTTGTGAACAGAAGTTAAGGCCAAATATTCCCAACAGATGGCAAAGCTGTGAGGTGAGTGTTTCTCTTGGATATTACACAATTTTCTAACTAGCTTTTGCTTAGTAAATGGAAACTTTTAAGCTCTTCTGGAAAAGAGAACAGCCACAAGTATTCCCTTTTCCATGCTCATAGCATTGAATGAAAACAAAATAATCTTATTTTCATGATGACCAATTTAAGACATTAAAAGGGCCACGGATATGGTTGTTAATACATCAGAACAATGTTTCAGTCTGCCAAATGAACCATCGAACAGAAGATTCCAAAAGGCAGCATGGAATGACAAAGCAAAATACTACAATGAAATGTGTGAGGAGCTAGAGTCAGAAAATCAAGAGGGCCGAACTCATTCAGCATTTCTTAAGCTCAAAGAACTGAAGAACAATTTCAAACCTCGAATTGCTACAATCAAGGATGCTTTAGGCAGAATGTTAAATGATCCAGGAGGTATTAAAAGAAGATGGAAGGAATATACTGAGTCATTGTATCAAAAGGAATTGGCAGATACAGAAGAATTTAATGAAATAGCATTTGAGCCAGAGCCTATGGTGATGGAGGTAGAAGTTCAAGCTGCTCTGAAGGAAATAGCAAAAAATAAGGCCCCCGGAATAGATGGTATACCAATTGACATATTTCAGCTAACAGATGCTGCCCTGGATGTGCTCACCAAGTTGTGCCAAGAAATCTGGAGAACAACCACTTGGCCAACTGACTGGAAGAGGTCTATATTTGTTCCCATCCCAAAGAAGGGTGACCCAACTGAGTGTGGAAACTACAGAACAATATCATTGATTTCACATGCAAGCAAGATTCTACTGAAGATCATCCAAAAATGACTGGAACAGTACATCAGCAGAGAACTGCCAGAAGTCCAGGCTGGGTTTAGAAGGGGTCGTGGTACTGGGGATATTGTAGCTGATGTTAGATGGATCTTGGCTGAAAGCAGAGAATACCAGAAGAATGTCTATCTGTGTTTCATTGATTATGCAAAGGCTTTTGACTGGGTGGATCATAACAAACTGTGGCTGACTCTGAGAAGAATGGGAATCCCAGAACATTTAATCGTGCTAATGCGAAACCTATACTTGGACCAAGAGGCAGTAGTCAGAACAGAGCAGGGCAACACTGCATGGTTCAAAATTGGGAAGGGTATACGCCAGGGATGTGTCCTGTCTCCATACCTTTTCAGCCTGTATGCAGAGCAGATTATCCGAGAGGCAGGGCTCTATGAGGAGAAGCATGGCGTTAGGATTGGTGGATGATCTATCAACAATCTGCGTTATGCAGATGACACAACCCTGCTCGCTGAAACTGAGGAGGACCTCATGCACTTACTGCAGAGGGTCAAGGACTGCAGCCTTCAGTATGGATTGAGGCTCAATGTCCAGAAGACAAAAATTCTCACTACTGGACCAATCGGTAGCATCAGGATGGATGGTGAAGAGATTGAGATTGTTCACAGCTTCAGTGTGCTCGGCTCCACAGTCAACACTCTTGGCACCAGTAGCCAAGAAATTAAAAAAACATATTGCGATGGGAAAGTCTGCGGTTAGGGACCTCTCTAAAGTACTCGAGCAACAGTGTCTCTCTGGAGACTAAGGTGCGCCTGATACAGGCCATGGTTTTTGCAATCACTTCTTATGCATCAGAGAGTTGGACAATGACTAGGGAGGATAGAAGAAGAATTAACGCCTTTGAGCTGTGGTGCTGGAGAAGAGTATTGAATGTACCATGGCCTGCCAAGAAAACAAACAGATTCATCCTAGAGAGGGTTAAAGCAGGCTGCTCCTTGCAGGCAAGGATTCTGGGGCTTTGTCTGACATACTTTGGACATGTGGTAAGGAGAGACAGGTCTTTGGAGAGGGACATCATGCTGGGCAGAGTGGAGGGACAGCGCAGGAGGGGAAGACCCTCTATGAGGTGGATTGATTCAGTGACTGGGGTAATCAGGATGGATGTGGCAGAGGCAGTGAGATTGACACAGGACAGAGCAGGGTTTAGGGCTGTTGTACATAGGGTCGCTATGAGTCGCAAGCGACTCGACGGCACATAACAACAACAACAACTTGCTTGTTAAATGAATGTTCACATCAGTGCAGCAGCCAAAAGAGTGGGACAGATACTGGACAGGAATCAGGACACTTGCATCCTGGCTGCCATTTAGTCTCTTTCTGTAGGCAAAATTACATCCATTTTTTTAGAACCTTCTTAACATCTCTCTGTGTAAAGGGAGTTAAGGTGGCCTAATGGTAAAGAGTTACTCTGGCAACTCAAAAGTATATGGTTCAAGACCACCAGCTGCTTTGGGAGAAAGACCAGTAATCTCTCCTGCAATTAATTACCTCCGAATACCTTATAGAGGGTCAGCTATGCATCAGTTCTGACTCAACAGTACAGAACAATTAACAACTACCAAGATAAAAGACTTAGTGCTGTCAAGTTGGAACTGACTCATGACTGACCTTCACATGGGAAGAGATGGCCCTTCTGGCTCCTGCAGAACCACTAGTGACCTTCAATGGCCAGAGAGGGGTGGCATTTGGATTGGCAGTGCAGCTCCATACTGCTAGTATAGTTTGGATGATTTTGTATTTTTTTTGATAGCTCATATGATCACTTATCAGGAATACGTAAAATACTTCTAGCAGCATCTGAGCAGCTCTGTTGCCTTTACCTCTGATAAAAGATTATAAAATATTTACTTAGTTTTCAATTTTAAAAATTTATTAGACAGATTTTATTTTAACTTACTCATAATTGCTGTTACCACTGTAATATTAGTGAGGTAGTGTTTCCCTCACAACTTTGAAGTTTTGTAGCTTAGAAATAAAACAACTTCACTTCAGTAGTAGATTTTATATCTTAAAACAATGCAGAACTTGACAGAACTCCACAAGAGAGCTCCTAGCTACTTTAAGCAAAATCAGATGTCCAGGCCCAGATAATACATACTAGCATGCCCATGGAATTTGCATATGACATAATTTAAGAAACGAAGTGGGAACAGATTTTATCTTTAAAAAAATTTTTTTTGGTGGGGTCTAAAGAGTATACAGACTTGAAGATTCACACACTCAAATAATTAGAACAGATTATTATTAAACAGATGGCTTTTAAGAATTAAGGCGCTCTGGTGATGCAGTATATCACACATTGGGCTGCTACCTAAAGGATATTGATTTGAATCTAACATCTGGACACCTTACAGGAGAAAGATGAGTAGTGTCCTCCAGTGAAGCCTTGTTATTGCTATGTGCTGGCGAGTCCCTTGTGAAATGCATGGTGACCCTATGTATAATAACTATAAACCCTGACCTATCTTGAGCCAATCTCACTGTCTCTGACATACCTACCCCCATTACCCCAATTACTAAATCAGTCCACCTCATCCATGGTCTTCCTCTCCTGCACTGTCCCTCTACACTTCCAATGATGACATCCCTCTCTAAGGATTGGTCCCTTCTGGCAACATGCCCAAAGTATGCAAGATGGAGCTTCAAAATCATTTCCTCCAGGAGGAGCCTGGTTTCACCCTCACAAGGACAGACCTGTTTATTCCCTGGCAGTCTGTCGTATGTTCAATACTTTTCTCCAGCATCGCAACTCAAAATCATCGATTCTTCTTCCATCACCTTTAGTCATTGTTTAGCTCTCTAATGCATAGTAAGTAATTGCAAAGACTGTGGCTTGGATCTGGTGCACCTTAGTCTCTAAACTGACATTGTTGCTCTTTAATACTCTGGAGAGATCCCTGACAACAGATTTTTTTCAGTGCAATTCATCTTTTAATTTCCTGATTGCTGGTACCAAAGAGTTTTGATTGTGGAACCAAGCAAGCTGAGATTTTTAACAATCTCAATCTCTTCTCCATTTGTCCTAGTGCCAGTTGGCCCAGTGGTGAGAATATGCTTTAACCTATATTGAAGACTGCAGTGTTTGACCTTATGCGGCATTTGCCTCAAATCTTCCTCAGTGTCAACAAATGCTATCTTGCCATTGAGCCATTTTCTTTATAGTTGTTTAAAACAGCACTTTCCTTTCCAGTTCGTTTTATCTCCTTCCCAGCATTGGCAACTCTCTGAAAATCCATGTGTTTTACTTATTTATTTGTAATATAATCTACCCCAAAAGACGATATGCTTTGTAGGGGCAGAGATTTTTGTCTTTTTGCTTACTCCTGTATTGCTGGAACCTAGCTAGAACAGTATCTGGTGCATGATGTTGTCACTGTGTGCCATCGAGTCAGGTCTAACTCATAGTTGTAAATCTCACAGGAGGAGATTGCCCATCTTTCTAACGTGGAGCAGCACGTGGATTCAAACCACATGCCTTTGAGATTGCAGTATAACTTCTTCCTACTTAGCCACGAGAGCTCGCTCTGGTGCATGATAGATACTCAGTATTTAGGTGGTTTTTAAATTTCTTCCTTGACAATTTGTTCTAACTCCAGGCATTTGAATGTTAGAGCCCATGAACAGGTCCTCAAATTATCTTCTTTGTACTCTTTCTTTGTTTGTCTTTTCAACTTTCTGGAAGGTTTTTTCATTTCATCTTTCTTATGTCACCTTCCATTCAGTTTCCATGTGAGCGAGCATGGATTTCATTTCTCGTAACTCTTTTATTCTCTGAATGCTGCTTATTCATAGCCTCCTGTTCATTACGAGGCATATAATAGAAAACACAGAGACTGAATCAAGGGACAAAAGCAAATGTGAGGAAAAGGTTCTTTGAGAAAGAAAACTGAGAATAAAGAGTTCTTAATACCTCCAGAATCAGCATCCTTTCTGCCTTTGAAGATTTTAGACATTTTCTTCTCTGTAAATTTCTGATATTTTTCAGGTTTTTCCTTTTTCCTATTCTTGATCATATACTATTTCTGAAATGGTTCACTGTCAACCAGTCCTTTTGTAGTATGTATTCCTGTCATTATCAAATCGTATTTGATTCTGTCTGCATCATTCAAGATTTTGCCAGTAGAATCCCTTCAGTTTTATAGATATTTCATATACTTTCTTTAGATGTCTGTAATCTACCTTACTTTGTACTTAAAAGAAGAGGCACTGAAAGCTGATACAAAGCCTTTGGAATGGAGCTTATTGACTGATCTTTAGGATGATCTGACCGGTCTGCTTCTTTGAGGAGCCACTGACCTCCTTTTCCTTATTAGGTCTTTCCTTCTGATCTAATCAAACACCCCAGAGAAGCCACTTTCAATTCCTTTCCTGGACAAGTATGTCCAAGTCACTATACATGTTTGGAGAAAGAGCATTTAGTATATTTTAGCATAAAACTGCTGCCATGTTTCACAGGTCAGAATTCTGTTTCACCCTCTCTGAGGGGAAAAACCCAAAATCACCCAACTAAAAAACTGCCTCTGGCTTTCTGCTGGGATAGAGGTTGAGAACTGTGTCAAGTTGAGATGGAACAGGAATATAGAATTCCAGCTAGTTCATAAATATATTTTAAGCTGATCCATCTACTTTAATCTGAGCTTCATCTCCACTGCCAGAGGTACTTAATGTAACCAGTTCATCATTTGGAGGGAGTTTCAGATTCCTTTTTTGCCTTTCACAGTGCTGGTTTAGAATTTTAACTTTTTAAGATCTACTATGTATGTTGTCTCTTGGCTGTCTGCTTTCCCGCTGCTGGTACCAATGCTTGGTGGATGGAAATCACTGTCATTTCTGTCCCTTTGCTATTAAGAATAATGCTAAAACAAAAGAGCCTCTTATATATCTGTCTTTACAGATAGATATAAATAAAGGTAAAATCCATTTTTTTAAAAATGTGCAGATGAAGATTATTACCCAGATTAATGGAAAATGATACATGAACTCATGCTTATGCTTTTCTTTTCTTGTAGGCTTTGAGAGTGATGGCTAAGATTATGAGAGAATGTTGGTATGCCAACGGAGCAGCTAGACTGACTGCCTTGAGGATTAAGAAAACGTTATCACAGCTCAGTCAACAGGAAGGCATCAAAATGTAATTCTGTAGCTCTGCCTGAACTCTCCTCTTCTTCAGATCTGCTCCTGGGCTTTCATTTGGGAGGTCAATTATTCTACCTCACTGAGAGGGAACAGAAGGATATTGCTTCCTTTTGCAATTGTCAATTCAGAACTCCCAGGATTTCTTTGGATCCAGGAAACAGCCATGCGGGTCCTTTCTGTGCACTATGAACGCTTTCCCAGGACGGTTAGAAAATGTTGTGTAGTCTACCTTTATTTTTTATTAACACGAAACTTGTTTTTTTAGAAGATGATTGCTGGTCTTAACTTTAGTGACTTCTGCCATGCTGAAGGTCATTTTTCATGGTAAAGAGCTGGATTGCTGAGTTACAGGAAATATTTCTTTTTTTTAAAGAAAGTTATTTGCTCCTGGTTAGTACATTCTCAGAGGATGCTGAACCACTAAAGAGTTTCCTTGAATCAGACTTTGAATGTACTGTTCTATAATTTTCAGGATCTTAAAACTAATCATAAAACTCTTATCTTGAGTCAAAAAAGGACCTCATATATTAGTGAGGAACATAATTTATGCAATTATATTTTGTATACTATTATTGTTCTTTCACATATTCAAAACATTACATGCCTTCAAAATGGGATTGTACTATACCAGTAAGTGCCACTTCCCATGTCTTTTCTAATGGAGCCTAGCAGAATTGCTTAAAATCTGTGTGTTTAAGAACTTGTTTGAATTTTAAAAGTTTATTTATCTGGTTCATCCATACTTTCTCTGTTTTGTTTTTGGAAAGGTTTTTGTGATGTGTCATTTGCTGTTTCCTTTTTAAAATGCCTTTCTTCTACCAAAATGTGCTTAAACCACTAAAGAAATGAAGTGGCATTAATCAGTAAATTGTTACCATGGTCATGTTTGAATATTCTCACATTAAGCTTTTCCATCATACTTGTGTTGTTAAGATTACTTTTTAAAAATCAAGTGGCACTCTCTAGAGGCTTTTATCGTCCTTTAATAATTTATAATTTGTAGCATACAGACTAATTTTTCTAAAATGGAAAGTTTGTCTAGCTACTTTTGGAAAGTTGTTTTGGCCTTTTTTTTTTTAACCTGATCAAAGACATTGTTATTTTTTTTTTTTTTAAGAAACACATTAAATTTAAAATTAGAATATAGTTAATGTTACTAGACCTCTTTTTGGGAAGGTAAAAGTAATAATTTGACTAAATAACAAATGTGCAGGAGTCACATTTATTCTGTAGGAGTAAATATTTGGTGAATTCTCTGTTTTTTAAGTAAGGTTAGAGGTGTTGAGGACTCACTACACTTTGAGAAAGGCAGCTTTTAATTCAGTCTTTCCTTCTTAAGTTAGCAGATATTGCAGCTGCTTAATTTACATAGCTCTGGAACTAATTCAGTGCACCCTTGCCTTTTGGGAGAAGTGGTAGTAAAAACATATTCTGAGGAAGGTTCTCCATTTACAGATATTTTCAGTAGAATGTTAAAGCAAACTGGTCATAATTGTCTGACATGAAATTGAACAGAGCCTATAGTAGCTAGGTTTTACTTTAGCCATATAAAGTCTGTAGAGTTTTCACAATATCAAGTCCTTTTTATCACTGTGATCTTGTTCTGGGGAAAAAATAAAACTGATAGCAGTGAGGCAAGTCTTTACTTTTATAGTACTATCAATTTCCTGATAAAAAGGGTCAGAATAACCTTCTAGAGTATTTTGGTCAGAGAGAGAGTGACCATTAATGCTGACTGGGCTGCATTTTAAAGAATGTTTTATCTCTTACACATGATGTTAAATTTGAAAGACTTATTTGGTCTTAAAGCCAAAGTAAACTTAGACTAAATGATATTACATAGGAATTTAATGTCAGTTTCATGTGTTAAAGATGATGGGGAAAATGCTTAGAAGTTGAGGATTTTTTTTCTGCAGTTACCGTGATATCATTGACGCAAATGAATGGATTTAAGAGGTTTGTTATTATAATTCTGTTATATTACCTGTTAATAAGTTCTGTGGTGAGGTACTTTTTTAAAAAAAAAAAAATTTCTAAGCCTACCAGAATCTGCTTTATAAAATCCAGGGGACCAATGCATTTTATCACTAAAACTATTTTTATATCATTTTAAGAACCTACCAAAAGTTGTATGATTTGAAATGATCATATATGATTTCTTATTTTCATTTAAGGTAATCAACATTTGCTGAAGATATACTTTATTAAATCAAAGATTGAGTTTCACCTAATACTGTTCTTGCCTAGGTGGATAAAGTATACTTTCGATGAATCAGGGAATTTTTTAAAGTTGGAATTTAGTTTTCAATTGGATTTATATATTATTGCAGCTCCTTTTAGTGACTGATAAGCCCCAGTTGACTAACTAATATCGAAAATGAAAATGACTTACATGAGTCTTGTTTACTGTTGTCCTAGCTGCAGAGAAATTTGACAAGAGTATTCATTTTGTCATTTAGAAACACTAGCCTTTGTTTATATTCCTTATCCTAAGATGCTTACCGTCTAGGATTCAGCTTAACTAAAACATATCACCTGGAAAATTGTCCACATCTATTTTGTGAGTTCCCCCAGGAGACTGGAGATAGGAGAGAGATTATGACTAAGTGGGGCTAAACAGCCCTGAGCCTTTTTTTATATGTGGTTCTGTTTTTTCCACTCTGTCCTCCTGCCAGTCCCTGACTCAAGAGACCATTGCCTTGCCATTCTCCCATCCTGTCACAATCTGCCCTCCCCAGCTCCCTTTAACCCATCTGACTAAAGAGCTGCTTTGGAGACCTAGAGTAATGGAAGTTGTGGGACATACTCCCAGTTTTAGATGCTGTCAGGAGGAGTCTCTAAGTTTAGAGGTATGAGGCTTGGGATGCCCCTCCTGGCTGCGTGCTTTGAGTCGAGCCAGGGAAAAGGAGCGGGATGGTGGTTATGGCGATGGAGACTGCATCAGAAGTAGTGGCCAGTGCATCCCTGTAGGACAGCCCTGAAGAGCTGAGCCTGTGATTCTGCTGTGATGATAGTGCTCAGGAAGTGCCTTGAGTCAGTGTCCAATGCCATGGCCATTAAGAATTTGAGGTTTCAGTGCTTAATATGAATTTTAAGTGGGTCTCTTGGTTATTTTGCAGCCCACACATTAATGATTTAGATTTCTCTGAGAACTATCATACACCTCGGCCCCACCCCTGCCGCCCCAACAAAACAGGGCAAGAAAGAGCTAGGAAAAATACACAACAAGAGAATGACAAGAGTTTATTCATTCTTGCACTAAGAAGAGTGATTTTAGGCCAGCTGCTTGTTTTGTTTCTTGATCATGGCACTGTTCTGACTCAGAACGGTGGCGATTCAAAATAATGGTCCTGTTACAACTCTGCAGAAAATGCCAGTTCATATAGTTTGAGATCTTAAAGAATAACTAAACATGTACTGAAGCTTCTTATATCTGTAGAATGCTGGAATGCCCATGACCCTTTCTCTAGGAATGCTGGACTTCTAGGACATCTGAGATTGTCAGTACATTTAAACTTTCCAATCCCATTATGCAATCTTACTTGTAATTATAAACCTTTTAAAATGTAGTTAACAACATTCAGCCTGTTTCTTAAAGGTCAAGAAGAACTTCAGTGAATTTTTCTTTTCTAACATGATTTGTGAATTGAAAATCATAAATTGTGTTTTTTTATATACCCCTTTTTCACATTGTGCCAATGGAATGGATACAGAGGTGTTTGATATTTCTTTATATGTCAAGGAGATGCTTCAAAATGTCAATTGCTTTAAACTTAAATTACCTCTCAAGAGACCAACGTACATTTACCTCATTGTGTATATAATGTTTAATATTTGTCAGAGCATTCTCCAGGTTTGCAGTTTTATTTCTATAAAATATGGGTATTATGTTGCTAAATTACTCAAATGGTACTGTATTGTTTATATTTGTACCCCAAATAACATCATCCTTACTTTCTTTTTTCTGTATTTTATTGTATTTGTGCAAAATTCTTTTGGCTTTATTAGTGTATTATCTTCCCTTTCAGATATGTACAGAAAATGTCCATAGAAATTTTCATTTAAATTGATTGAAACCTGTAAAGAGGAGAGAAAAGTAAACAACATTTCTCCCTAATTTTTTAAACAATTACATATTGTATTTGTAGTCATGCTCTGAAGGAACTGTAAATAGAAGTAGATGAGTGATCACTCATGTCAAGTCCTAACACTACAGTAGGAAAATGGAAGCAATGCAAATAAATGACTTTTTTTCCCAATGGGCTTGTGGCATGATTGAAAATAAAGTGTAAATTGTGAGTGAGCCATATGTTATGTAGTTATGTAGGATGTTTGGTTAGAAGAGTAGTCAGGGAGCACTTTTGAAGAGGGCTTGCCTGGCAGTAGTGCATTGGTGTGTGTGGATGTGTCTGGGGCTGTGACTGTCAGTGGACAGGATGGAGGTGTGAATTCCTTTGCTTTTGGCTCAGCAGATTTGCTAACTTTGTGTTCAAGTGCTGTTGGTATTTTCTATCTGAGATTCTTAAAGTTTTTCAAAGGGTGGACTAGTGGCAAGAAGCTGCACTGCAATACCAAAGGCACATGGTTCGAGGCCACCAGCTGCTTTGTGGGAGAAGAATGGGCAATCTCCCAAGTGATTACTGCCTCTGAAAACTCGTAGGAGGGTCAGCTATATAGGTTGGTTCCCCCTCAATGGTATACAACAAGAACAACAGTTCCTAATTTAAAGATGGGCATAATTTGTGAAAAGGCCCTTTTCTTTCTTTTTTTGTAAATGTTAATTATTAATCTCCTGGGGATAAGAATGGGAAATGATGATGGAAATGGTGAAGATACGCTTTTCCAAATCTTCATTGATGGTAGGAGGGGGTTTCTAATGAGATTACTCTTGCTTTTAAAGATGAAATGCTTCCATTTTTTTCCTTCTTCATATTAAGATGATATACATCATTAGAACATAAAGCTTTTGTAGAAAGTTGGGGCAAAAGTGAGATTTTTAAAACATCAGAATTTTGGATGTTTTGAATCTGAAATGGCAAAACTAGCTTATATATATGTATGTTTGGCTTTTGGAGATTAACAAGCAGTTGAACTATTCTGGAAAATTAAGAGAATTTCAGAAAGTCCCAGAAGCTAGGCACACCCTTATATGCATGTTTCAGGCATATACAATTTTTATTGTAAGACAGTTATAGTTAAATAATGTCACATCATACAGTAAAGAAAAGATTCTTTATGTGGGATGATAAAGGGGGAAATCTCAAGACAATTTGTTGTCTTGCCTACTATGTAATAATAGACTTGGAAGGAAAAAGATTGAAGCAGAGCAAAGAGAGGAAAGGGAAGTAGGAGATAAAAGGACGTAGGGAGAACATCTTCTTAGTAATCGGAAGAGAAGATATGGTGATAAGGAGCATTAAAACAGTCCAGTCTTAATACTGTAGTTAAGATGTTCAGGGAAATGTGAGTTGATAGACTGCTAGGTAATTTAAATGTTTTAAAACGGGAAATTGTGTAAGAAGTGTTATGGATATCTCCTCTGAAAATTGGAGCTGTTGCTTGGTACCCCTCATACTCTCAAGAAGGATCAAGTTAACATTGGATTAATATACTGGAGTAGATATAGATATTAGAGAAGCCACAGATAATTGCATAGGACACTCACATGAGTAATGGATGGAGTCCATATAGTTCCAG